TGATTGCACATTAATGTTGAACAGTAAAAGACTGTTCATGTTAACAACTGTTTGATTTATCACCAGACGAATTACCTTGATTGTAATGCTTAGGGTCTTCATTTTCCTTCAAAGATGACTCTACTCTGGATGCTGAAAAGACACAAATGCCATCACAGTTATTGCAAAAGTGGGCACAACAGAGCTTTCCATTGATCACAACTTGTTTCATGGTTTTTTCATCCAGTTAGGTGGGTGAAAAAAAATCACATAGAACTCTCATTCAACCCCAGCTTTACTGACTGACTGTCTAGCATTCATATTCAACATTGCACTCACTCAGCTTTCTGTCTCTTTAGCTCAGTCGGCAGGTCAGTAGAGGATCCGGTGAAGAAACGTCCTTGTTCACTGCTGCCCTCTGCTGACTAATTAAAAACACAGGATCAATAGGATAAAAGGAGAACAGACCCCCCCCCCCCAGCCATGCACAGGAAATATTGGGAAAAAGGAAAAATACAGCTGGAAATGAATGAAAACGCTTAACAAAGGAAAGGAAAAACTGTGTCAGAAGTGAATATTCAGTGTGTAATAAAAACCCATCATTTCTCAAGCTCAAGATAAGACGAAGATGGAGACATTTCCGCCTATTGTAAAGATGTAAGACCAAAGGAAAAAGTCTTCCTCACGAGTATTTCCTCCAGCTCTATCCTGGCCGTGATGAATGGATCCACTGATTGTTCCAGTTCAGATCGCAAGGAGTCAAATCTGGTCAAAGCAAAAGAGAGTGGGGTTACATGGGCACAACGACATGTTCAGAAATTTTCGGATTATGATTCTGACAGTGTGCTCTACTGAATCAACAACTGGCTGCAATATTCAACCTAAACGAAGGCTCTAGTCTCTTAAAAGGACTACACCTAACTAATATGGAGTAGTTTTATATGCTGGATTTTATATATTGATCAGTAAGTAATTAGTGGAGTCTGAATAAGCCTGAAGAAGACAAGCTTTGCACATTAAAAAACGACTTATATCTATCCCACATTTGTACTACTTATATTTCAAAATGGTAACCATCCATGATCTTAACAGTTGTCTATAACTAAAGAATTGTTTATCTAAAATAATCTGTTTATTTAAGTCAGTTTTTGTTGTGCTGTATTGTAGCTTTGTAAGTCATTGGTGTCGAGGTGTTTCTGTTTTTGTTCTGGCCGTTTGGATTTCCACTTTCCCCCTCCAAATACAATCAAATTTATTTTTAAAATTGCAATAACTTAAAACACTGCTGTGCCTCAAATGACCCTATTATGACATAACCAAGTGAGTGTTATGAATGTTCCGTAAATCGAGCTCATGTAACGCATTAGTGACAGCACTATAAAATTAAAAACTAATGCTTGTCTTGATGGATGGGCCAGACACCAAATGTCTGCCTTGACTAAGGAAATGGTTCTTGTGTTAAGTGACTCTTATACAACTATTTTTAGTGCTATGTAAATCACTGATAATTTGGCCGGTGATGGATCTCCGTCATTCCGTGTCTCCTGTCATTAAATTCTGATATGTCACTATGACCATCAGGAAAGTGTGGCAATTGAAATATAGCAACTCATAAAAAGGAGTTCTCTGTAACCCTTTAACTCTGTGCTCTACTTTGGCTCTCTGTGTATAGACAGTTAGCAGTGACAAAAATATAATAATTTGCAGCGTACAATATGATTGATTGATTAAATAATTTGCCTTAATTATGGGAAAAGCTGTGACTTAGGTACTCGCTTTTCCAACTCTTTCTGTGGAACCACTTGTTCATGTGCTTCATCGACAAGCACAACATCCTTAATAACACAACTGAGAGTACACTGACATATATGCAAGTTAGCGTTGCCTTGTGGGCTAAGAAGGGGACGTACTATCTACCACACAAGGGTTATAGTACACACAACATGACTTAAATTTAAGGTTATTGTCCAAATAGTTCTGCATGCCATTTCTAGGGGTGGACTAATAACAGAGCTTGTGGATTAAGGTAATACGTCTAGCAGCTGTCTGACAGAACAATTTTGCATTCAGCTTGAGAGGAAAACTACCGGACGATCAAAGCTTTAAATGTTTAGTCAGTAGTTTTAATAAAATGTCCAACAAAGGTCACTGAGAACAAACAAACTTTTTCAGTAATGCCCTGCCTCACAGTGACGCATACACTGTTCCTCGCTGTGGGTCTTTGAGAGTTCAATCATTCAGCACCTTAATTATAAATTCCCTGTCCAAAGCTAGAACTGCTGACTTTCTAGTCAAAAGCCAATTTCTTTTAAACCTTCAGACCACAACTGCCACAGACTTGTTGACACTAGTCTTCACAAGTCGTTGTGGAGAAAACAACGCACATAGAACCACGGTTAGAGATGTGGGTGTGGTTGAGAGTGTGCAGCCAGTTAAGATACAGAGGTGTTCATTTTAACTATCTAAACAAACCAAATGGACTAGTTGGACATGAGACATACCCTGTCAATGACCAACATGTCAGTGCCACTCTTTGCTAACATTGCACTGGCATGAACATGGCCTTAAGTCTAATGCTTTTGCAGGTTTGGGACATCTTCTGTTACATGGTACACTGACATGTCTTCAGAGATCTGCAACGACATTTGTCTACACACACCTGCTTGAGATCTTGGTGTGAGGGGTGTGGTCTCTTGCAGCATCCAGCTTCCAATGCTATACAGGACAGAGCGAAGGAAAAATTAGGTTGAAACATGCTATGAAAACTTTTGAACACAGACAAGTTATGTGTGAAACTTTTAAAACATTAATTTTTACAGAAATGATAAAGCAGTGTGCTAAGTACAGGTGATCTGTAAACTGACTACATTATCAATACGCCTGGTATAAGGACCATTTATTAACTTAAATGATTTGTCCATGTGCAGAGTTCTTCTCACACTGTTAAAAAAATAAAGTGTCAATGAAATGAATTGAATCTTCATTGTACTTTAATAGTATTCAACACAATATACCGTAAAATTTCAATTAAAAGCCTAGTCCCTTGTACTAGCCTGGTGTGACTACACATTCTGACAAATAAAGGCCTGTCTCAATTAGAGGCCTGGTGTGGTTGCCAATCAGTTCATTTTTATAGAAGTTATTTGGATGTGTAAAACCAGGTTTTTGGCAACCCAATTAGATGGGGTTAGCTTAAGTTAGATAGATGTATAGATCACACATGCAAATATGGATGTTTAAACTTTTTTCAGTATAGCCATGCTTCATATCATTAGTTAGGTTAGCTCCTCCACAAATTTATTAGTTAGGTCCTCCACAGTTCAATCATTCACTTCAATTCTACTGAAACCATGAACACCAAAGAATATTTCATTCAGATTTATGAGCATGGTAAACAAAAGGGATAGAAAAAAAAGTGGTGACTCCCTGCCCCTGAAGCTGTCATAAAGTCAGAATATCAATTAGGCTACCTGTTTAGTTTTCTTATATTTCTTTGGTCCAAAAGGGTCCACAGATCAAAAGAATCAAAAGGGTTTTTCATAATAAAGTAATCCATGAGTATTGTTGTAATTGCTCTCTCTCTGATGCGCTGTCTGTCAAAGCTAGATCAAATGGATGATACATAATTAATGTTGTATTCAAAGCCTAATATGTAAACAATATTCAAACTGGTTCAAATAAACAATTTGATTGTATTTTCCGCTCTTGCTGAGTAACACTTTTGTATAAAAGGAATTAAAGGCCTGTCCCATATAGACACCTGCCCCATATATAAGCCTGTTGAGTTAAGTGATTTAAACAAATAATAGCCCGGGCTATTAACTTAAGTTTTACGGTATTAGCCTATAAAACAACTTATGATGTATCACGAAGAACAAGAAAGAGTAAACTTGCAGCAGTACTTGAAATATCATCAGAATAGTAACATTAGAGACACTCCCTGCACTTCCCACTTCAGCAACATCTATAAGAGCAAAATAGGCCTATGGGAATGTTGTAACCACAGGGTTAAAAAAAAAAGAAAAAAAAGAATAAGACCACAGCAAACTCTAATGAGCAAAAAGCACTTATTAGTCCATATTAGAGTAAAGCAACGTTATTGAAGTCAGACACAAACTATATAGCAAACACTGTAACGCTGTCAGTGGTGATTATACAGTGTATACATGAATACACAATGCTTTAAGTCTTTGACAGGTGAGCTTCTGTTGCTGCTTTGCAGAGTGTCTGACAATTTACACGACCTTACATCAAATACAATTTATCTAATCAACACAGCAATACAAGATATACAATTTATACGACAATTCAACATTAAAAAAACATATATTGAGCAATACTCACGTCATTTTAAGGCTGTTTTAGCAAAAGTTTGTCGCAAATTATTAATGAATCTGGCGCCTTTGCTACACTCAAACAGTTCGAGTAAAACATAGCCTGTCCTATATATAGTTCTCGATGTCCCCTTATTACAAAACGACTCGAAGGACGTAAAAACCAGTCTGAATCATAAATTAATTCCCTATTTATATTATCAATACTGCGTTTATGCTTATTGCCTCAAGGAGTACAATACGGCATTACGTTAGTTTTAGCCGGAACGGGAGAAGTTGATGTGTGTTCCTTCCGTGTCGCTTTTGCTGAACACCGATGAGTTTTTGTTTACCTAGCAACAGAGAGCAAGATAGCAACGGTGTTTGGCGAATGTCACTGCTAACGCGAATTTGATCCAATAAAATGGACACTTCATGTTTTTAGGGTGTGGTGAAAAAGTAAAAAATAAACGCATTTAGCTTGAATTAGCCGCCATATTTGGCTGCCGTCTTGTTGTTGCTAAATTAGCTTGCTAACGGTGATCAAAGATGTCTTTTCAAGAGTCACCTCGTCCTTCTGATGAAGAGGAGGCTTTCTACATACAGTGCAGAGCCGCGTACCTCGCAGTGTTTAGATCTAGTTTGACAAATATCGCTTCCAAACAGCAGCTATGTCGTGGTAAGCTAACCCTAAGATTATTAATTAGAAAGATATAGATTAACTGTTAATAGCTTGCTCGTTAGTCAGCTGTTAGCGTGCCACGTTTACGTCTGCCAATAAAAGAAAACTTCATGTAATTTCTATAACTTATGACGTTAGCTCAGGTCAGTAGAGATAATGATTTAACCTGGGAACAAATCTCGGCAAAGTGTATGGTGACTCCTTGGACACTAACGGCAGCAGTCACGAGGCTGTTATTGTGATATGGGGCTTTTTTGCTCTGTAGATTTACAGTGTAAAACTCAAAAAATTTAGGAGCCCTCAGGCTCATCCAGAACCACTTTACAAAAGGTATCAGCTGATAAAATCTAACATTGATGCTCTAATTTCCAGTTAAGACCTTGTCTGTGTTCCTAAATATTGGCTCACATGACCAAAATGTATGTTGAAGAGAACAATGTCATTCTTTTAGGGTGAATTTCTGCTGACCTCCTGGTGGGTCAGTCGTTATAAACCTATGCTGTGCACCTAAACATAGATAAAACCCACAGAGCATTTAGTTGTTATCCCAAAAATATGACAACATGATGCTCAACATATTTAGAGCATTTCTATTTGACGTTATTAAAACATAGAGTCTTAGGTTTAATCATCTTACTCACTGTACATATCTTATAGCTGCAATAAAGAGTTGGTGATACCATCTGAAATAGTGTACAACAAGAGGTTTTTTCCCAGCCCCTAAAGCTACTTTAGTTGAAACAAAAAGGAGAGAAATGGTTGTTGATGCATTAAGCATTAAGCGCTTTGGGGTTGCATTTTTGATGTATGAAAGGCAAACAAAGTTTGATTGATTGATTGATTAACTTTTGTAGTAATTAGTGGCACAGATGCAACATTGTGCAAATTTGGTTGATTTACATGTCAATTCAGGAAATCTAGAAGCACAGAAAAACAAACAGTCCTTGTGCCACAGTGGGTTGTCATCAGCCTTTACTACTTGTAGATTCGATGCTCTGTCCCATGTATTCCATTCAGCTCTGCAGCAGGCTGGCAGAAATCCAACCCATGCAACTCTCAATAAATACTGGACCCCGAGGACGTCCAAACTGAACTTTGATGACTTCTGTGAAATTCTCAAGAATGAGAAGAAAACTGAGGAGACAGAACTAATGAGAGCCTTTAAAAGGATGGATGTGAACGGTGATGGCTATATCTCACACAGTGAACTGGAGAAGGCACTTACCACTGTGAGTAGCCTAACCCTTCTGGTTATAACTGTTAATCTGTGTCCATTGAGTGATGCTGTTTTTTTTACTGTGAATAGTTAAGTAAGTAGAGGATGAACTGATCTCCAAAAGGCATGAAGTTAAAGATGGAGCATTAGTGTATTATTTTTTTGTACAATTTTAGAGAGAAAAATAGAAAAGGAGCACCATGCAAAAGTTTGGGCACCCAAAGACATTTGAGCTCTCAGGCAACTTTTACCAGGGTCTCAGACCTTCCTTAGTTTGTTAGGGCTATGGCTTGTTCACAAGGAAAGGCCAGGTGATGCAAATTTCAAAGCTTTATAAATATTCTGACACTTGAAATCTTGTCCAAACAATCAGCAGCCATGGGCTCCTCTAAACAGCTGCCTAGCACTCTGAAAACTAAAAAAAAAATGATGCCCGCAAAGCAGGAGAAGGCTAAAAGAAGATAGCAAAGTGTTTTCAGGTAGCTGTTTCCTCAGTGCCTGTAATTATGAAATGGCAGTTAACAGGAACTGTGGAGGTCAAGTTGAGGTCTGGAAGACCAAGAAAACTTTCTGCAAGAGCTGCTCGTACCCCTGTTTGACTGCAAAAGACCTGCAGGAAGGTTCAGCAGACTCTGCAGTGGTGGTGCACTGTTCTACTGTGCAGTGACACCTGTACAAATATGACCTTCATGGAAGAGTCATCAGAAGAAAACCTTTCCTGTGTCTTCACCACAAAATTCAGCGTCAGAAGTTTGTAAAGGAACATCTAAACAAGACTGATGCTTTTGGAAACAAGTCCTGTGGACTGATGAAATTAAAGTAGAAATTTTTGACACAATGAGCAAAGGTATGTTTGGAGAAAAATAAAAAGAACACACCCCTCCAACTGTTAAACACAGCGGTGAGTCAATCATGCTTTGGGCTTGTGTTGCAGCCAGTGGCACGGGGAACATTTCACAGGTAGAGGGAAGAATGGATTCAGTTCAATTCCAGCAAATTCTGGAAGCAAACAGAAGAGAGGATTGCTTCTACAACAGGTCGATGATCCTAAACACATCTAGAAATCCACAATGTTCTACCTCAAGAGCCGCAAACTGAAGGTTTTGCCTTGGGCCTCACAGTCCCCAGACCTAAACATCATTAAAAACCTGTGGATAGACCTCAAAAATAGCAGTACATGCAAGACAGTCCAAGAATCTCACAGAACTAGAAGCCTTTTGCAGGAAGAATGGGGTTACAAAAAGCAGTCAGAGGCTTTGATACTTGTCAGAGGGGGCGCTACTAAGCACTGACCATGCAGGGTGCCCAAACTTTTGCCTCAGGCCCTTTTCTTTTTTTGTTATTTTGAAACTGCTAGATTGAAATAAAACTTGCCCAAACTTTTGCATGCCACTGTAGACAGCCTGAGCATGAACTGATTAAAATCTAATATCAACTCTTGTTCAATTAAAGTAGAAATGTTTCTGTTCTGGTGTTTGTACTACTAAAGAAAATATGTTGAATCTTCCAGAGAGGAGAGAAAATGACCACTGAGGAGGTGAATGCTATTTTCGCATTAGCTGACATCAACAAAGACGGCAAGCTGGATTATGCAGAAGTAAGTTTGTGTATCAGTTATGAAGTATTTCATCTGACTGATTAGCTTCAAATAATCAGTGCACCAGCACAGCCTCAGAACAAAGGCTACTATCCCAAGCAGTCAGGAGAAAAACTTTTGGAAACAGTAACAGGTCTTCCACCCTTATTGTTATTACTTGCTACAAAGCTATTGTTTGCTAATAGACATTGTTTTTGATCCAGTTCAAAAACCAGTAAAGGATAAAAATCATTCATTCAAAACTTTTTTCATTAAAGTTGATTTGAATTCACATAAAATACAGAAGAATCAGAGATGCAGAGTGGCACAGACGCATCTCTGAACCTCTCCCTTGCCTCAGATCATGCATCATGCCCTCACTGCTTGTTCCTTGTTGCTGTCAGTTCTGCAGATTGCTCGTGTCTACAGTAGAGCAGTGTCAGATGGCTGCTTTGGAGAGGCTCGAGGCTAACGCCAAACTGAAGAGACAGAACTTTGGCAGTCAGTCATACAGCCCTCCTAAGAGCTCAGTGTCATCAGCATCATCAGCAACAGCAGCAGCAGCACAAGCAGCAGTGACTCTCCCCCAGCCTCCTGAAACACCCCGGGCAGAATCAGACATGACACTCAAGAAAGGTACAACTTGTGACTTTCTCAGAAAATTCTAAAATAAAAGTGACTGCTACTGAATAGTCCTTATACCAAAATATGAGAAGATATGTAGGAGAGACTTTATTTTTGCATAGCAATGCTAATATCTTATGGTGTATGAGTCCAGAACATAATAGCGATACGCAGTCCAGTGTAGCAGCCAATGGGGACTGCACATCAAGTACACTTCAGATTCCAATTTATAGTTGCACACCCGTACACACTGCTTGCCCCAATACGCCTCACCGATTAGTTTTGATGAATAAATAATAGCTCTGTTATTGATCGATTTTTCACTCCCCCCGTGACAAATCACCTCATTAAGAGAGTCCATACATCATAATAGCCACACAATTAGGGCAGCTTGTTTGGAGGGAGGAGACTGTAAAGCATTGTGATTTGGGTAATCATTTCTGCCATTAAGAGATTGACAAAAGCTCCATCTATGCCGATGAAGAATGCCGCCTTTCACCTGTGGCTTTGGAGTTAAAGCTCTTGCCAAAAAAATATGTTTTCATAGCTTAAACAAACGGTGACGCGCATCAAGTCCAGCTCCACCCTTCTGCAATTGTAGATAATGAACCAACAGAGTTTTTCTCTCCAAAAGACAGCACCTTCATTCAGTTGAAGGTGGGTGTAAAAAATCCACTTTTTACACTTTAAATTTTGTAGGAAAGAAAAGAACAGAGATCCTGTTCTGATGAGCGAGCCAGGGACAGGCCCACAGTGGGAAGATAGATGGGGTTGATTTAAGTGGTCAGTCCATGTTCATGTTATTGATTCGGAGGATTTCACCACTTCTCACTGGGGAGATGATGAGGGATTAGGCGGTGGGTCGAGAGGAGGGCCCAGTCGACCACCACTGCAAAAACAAATGAGCTCCCACATAGTTGTCGGGATTATCACATTATTGTGCCTCTCCCACGTATTGATTTATACCCGCTACATTCTAACGAGGCTTTAACACGAGACGCGACGTGATCGCACATGTTGAATGGGTTATTCTTGGAGCTCAAAAACAGTTTTGACTGCTCATTTGCTCCTACATTTGTCAGTACAAACCAGCACTACACTGAGAAATATGTTCTAACTGAATGGGAGATGGCTGATTTTGGATAATTGTTTTGTGAATAATTGATGTAGTACAGAGTAATTATCAGGTATCACCGCATCAGGTGTTATGTGTCTAACAAGTTTTGGCAAACAGTCAGACCAATTGATGAGCTGTCTCTGATAATTGGTCTATTTAGTTCAGTTCTTGCAGTTTTCCAGCAGCAGAAAGCCACTACTACTGCCTTTAAACTCACATTCAGTGTAAACTCACACTGAAGCTTTTGTTAGGCCAAGTTTCAATGCATCTTTGTCCACATTCACACAACAGCTACAATTTGGCCCTCTAGATTAAAAATACTGCCATCAATACAAAATAGATCCATCACAAATTCCACGACAGTGGGTCTATTTATTTCTCTGCTGCGGTAATTTGCTTGTAAGCCTCTCACATTGCTCCGCATCTTGATTTCCCAGGCTTGGAAACAATCAGACCCCTAATTAGTGAATTGATATTTTCTGGCTTCAATTAGAGTTCAAGGGAGGAAAAAAGTTGTGGGAGATAATGGATTTGAGAGGGTGCTGTTAGGCCATTTGTGATTTAAAAGGCCTCCATAATTAATTAAAAGGGAGTTGAACTTGAGACCACGCTTTCTTGGAACCCAAATGTAAAGTAGCCATCTTCGCTTGAACTTGGGAACGGACTTCTGAGAAGACAGATTACAGTGTCAATTATGTTGTGCACCTCATCTTTCTTTTGAAAGTGTGTTTACTGTTTGGAGAGAGGAGGGCTGTACTTAATCTGTCAGTCAGTCAGTTGAGCGTTCTGTTCTGCTCTGTTCTGTTGCAGCAACTCGATTTATTTATCATAACTTTGGATGTATTTTTTAGCATATGTATTGTTTTGTTTACCTATGTGACTTTTTATGTTTGTGTCTCAGACAGCAGAGCATCCTCCCGGCCTTCCTCCGCTCGCAGCAGACGGTCGTCCCTGTCGAACTCAATCACTATGACATCCAGCAGCACTAAAGCCAGCAAAATACCAGAGCCGTCAGGATTACAGGTAACCACCCCCATATAGTCAGAATGTATGTAGCGCTGCAGCTAATGATTAGCTTCATTATCGATTAGTCTGTCAGTTTTTCAAATTTTTCTATTTTTATGGATTGTCAAAAACATAGTGAAAAATACCCATAGGTTTTTCAATCAACACTGCAAACCCAAATGTGGGCGGGGCTGGAGCCTATCCCGGCTGACATTGGGCGCGAGGCGTGGGGTACACCCTGGACAGATCACCAGACTATCGCAGGACTAACACATAGAGACAGACAACCATTCACACTCACATTCGCAGCTATGGACAATTAAGAGTCACCAATTAACCTGCATGTCTTTGGACTGTGGGAGGAAGCCGGAGTACCCAGAGAAAACCCACACTGACACGGGGAGAACATGCATGCTCTGCACTCTTGCTGTGAGGAGACAATGCTAACCACTGCACCACCGTGCCACCTACAATAATGATTAATTGCGAATAAAAAATCGTTGGAGATAAATTTTGTGTCAATCAACTAATCAAATAATTACAGATATTTTCCTAAGAATTTCTTCACTTTCTCGTACTAAACAAAGTTAAAACATCAGCACAGTTGTAAACTCATAGCTCACTTTTTAGTCCCAGTTTAGTTCCTTTCCACTAATGTTTATATATTATCTTTGATGTCAGTAAGTTGAATTTAATACAGTAATTTACAGGAACATTTCATCCATTTCATGATTTGCAACATATGCTTATTATCCTCTATAAGCGACATGCTATGTAATGAATCTGAAAGATTTATTGTGTGTACCATCACTGACCAAACCTGGATATCTTAGTGTGTGTGTGCTCCAGTGAGACTCCATGATAACAAGGTCCTTGCAGCCCCGCTGCTCTCCCAGTGTCACTGTTACCCACTGTGTTTTTGATGGGCGAGTTAGCCCAGGGTGGATAGATATACACTGTATTGATCCCATGCTCTTTGTTTTCACTCTTTTTGGCTTAACCTCGGCTGGTTTGCTTTACAGCAAGAAAAATAAATAAATAAATAAAAATAACAGCCCCCTGCTCCATCTCTCAGGCCCGAGCACTGTGTTGAGATTGGAAAGGGCCAGACATCATCGAGGTAAAAGAATGTGTGTCCAGAGATTACCTCTGAGGGAAGTTCTGCTCGCTATATTGGCTGCTATATTGCCACAGGCTGATAATTGGGAGGTGGCGGGTGGAGGGCATGCTGTGTTTTCGTAGCGGTGTGATGCGTGTATGTGTGTGTGTGCCTTGTGTGATGCAAATTTATCCTCAAAATACAAACACAACCAGTGAGCAATATTCTTTATTCTCAGGATTTGTTTTTACAAATGGGTTAGAATGATGAGAATTATAAGATGAGGTAAAGGTCATGGTTGAAATGTGTGTGTTTGTTTGTGTGTGTGTGTGATTGTGTTTGTGGCTGGTTCAGCATCCCGCGACCCTCTGCGTCGCAGTAAATCTAACCTGTGGCCGGAGCTGGTGACAGCGCCTGTATTAGTCTGCAGGCTGACCCTCTCTCTATGGGGGCATTAATTCTGATGTCTTTAAGCAGTTGATGGGTGCCCATGGCAATTTCCCTCATTTAATATTGTCTGGACAAACCACTGAAGTGTTATGGTTTGATCTTTTATGCCTCTCACAGCCCAAGATAAATACTTTGAGAAAATGGCTTTTCTCTAAAGGAGTGACATGCTCCGTCTTTATGGTACTTTCTTTGTTTAACTTGGTGATTTATTTGTCCACTAAAAGGATATATGGCCTATTCCAGACTCGCCGGGCCCTCGGTGTCCTCTTACTGTGTGTCCACACCAACTGTGTTTTCATTTAATGTGTCTCCAATGAGCGGAAGGAAAACTTCCTTGTTTTGATGTTCCTGTTCAATTTCAAATTATTACCTCATTTCAGTTGTGCTGCCAGACAAAGGAACAACAGGATTTCAAAATGAGAGAAATATTAGGATTCATAAATATTGCCAAAGTAGCCTCTTGATACTTTTGAATGACCGCTGGCCCAAGATTGAAAAGGCTGTATTTATCAAAGTTAAATGGACTCCAATTTGCCATATCAGGTCCTGGAGGGAGATTTACTTCAGCCCTCAGCAGAAACACAGCGTGACACTCCTGCCCTCCTCTGGATCAGCGGGAGTATAGCAAGTGTTTACATGCTGCCGAGCTGACATAAACTATAAAGTAATGAATATGCCCCCTGAAGGTTGGAGTGGTAATTATCACGACGGCGGCTTCTGTTAATGAAGTGAGCAACCTCACTGTTATGATTGACTGCTCAATTCACTTTTTTGTGCCAAAATATACTTCCCCTGTCACAAGATCAATCCCCCTTTTAATAAGAACTGCAAATTAGTTTTGGTTTCTGTTGAATGAATAAATGCATTTTGTTGTCAAGCTGCAAAACAGTTTGTGGGGATTGTGTCAGGATCTACTCGGAGACCACACATAAAATATATTAGTCTGCATATGATGTGATATACCGTATGTATGATACTTTAGAAGGGCATAAAATGGCAAACAGCAGGGTCTGATAAAGATTATTTTCCTGCATTAATTGCCACACTATATCAGTTTGTATGAGTATGTCCTTTTTTCCAGGAGTGGCTTCACAGGTACACGAGGGGCTGTTTCTTCTTGGAGGACGATGGAAGCATTGGCTCTCTGCAGTACCAGCTCCACATCCCCCAGACAACTAACGTCTACCTCACCATCCAACCACTCAGCCTCAGCCACGGACCAGGTACCAGCACTATTTTATATAACACATAAAAATCATAATGGGTAGCGAAGAAATTACCCCACTGGACATAGGGTTATATGTTTGCTTGTTCCCCTGATTAGAGAGGTGGGAAATTAGGGTCAAGGACAGGACAACACCTCTGGAGCTGGTAGGAATTCTGGATTTGGACCTCGGTCCCTCAGCATTCATTACTTGCCCATATTTGAGTTTATTGCTGGGCCACTTCCTCCACCATTACTTCACTACTATTTTTAGTGGTATGCAATGTTGTTGCAGTTTTAAAGATGGTTTTGTGACATTGTAACATTAAGTATCGCCCCAGTAATTTATTAGATAATGAATCATAAAGAAAAAAGACCAATTACATTTTGTAGGAAATGTGCTAGATAGCGTTCCAGCTCATTTATGACAAACAACAAGAAGAGGGTGCAGTTCAGTTTCTGTTAATTTAGAGAATGCAAAAGCACATAATAAATCGATGTAGATGGTGAAAAGTCACATCTGTATACCAATCAGCCCAAACATTAAAACCACTGGCTGGTAAAGTGAATAACATTGATTATTTTGTTACAGTGCAATGTTGTTCTGAGGAACCTTGGCTCCTGCCATTCATGCAGATGCCACTTGACACGCTACACCCACCCAAACGACATTGCACACCAAGTACACCCCCCTATTGGGAACTGCACTCCCTGATGGCAGTGCTCCCCCCAGCAGGACAATGCACCATGTCACACCACAAAAACTGCTCAAGAATGGCCTGGGGGACGTAACTAGGAGCTCAAGGTGTCAGCCTGGCCTCCAAATTCCCCAAATCCCAATTCGATCAAACATCCATTGAGCATGCCGGTACCTTACCTCGCAACCCACAGGACTCGAAGGATCTGTCAACAACACCTTGGTGCCAGACAACACAGGACACCCCCAGAGGTCCTGTCACTATGCCTCACTTGACTCTGACCTATCGAGGCCTGGTCAAAGGACCTGGGGTACCGGTTTGTCCCACAGATGCTTGATCAGATTGGGATCTGGGGAAGCTAGGCCGATACCTTGAGCACTTTGTCCCGTTCCGTGGACCATATCCTGAGCAGTTTTTGTGGTGTGGCATGACGCTCTGCCTTGCTGGGGGGCTATTGCCATCAGGGGCACTTGGTCTATGACAATGTTTAGGTGGGTGGAGTGCATAAATCCACATCCACATGAATGCCAGGACCAAAGGTTTCCCAGCAATGTTCTGCTGGGAAACCTTTGGTCCTGGCAATGAAATGATTGATGTTGTTCATTTCACCTTCCAGTGGTTTTAATGTTTTGGCTGATCGGTGTATGTATGTGCAAAGATAAAGCTTGTAAAGAGTCTTTGGTCTCTTGAAAGCTTTGTATATCCAATCAGGAAAGACTGCATATACAGTATTAAGCTTACATTTGATTCTTTGTTTGTACTATACATTATATCAAAGCTTTGTATATGGTAATTTTGTATTCAATATCTGGTTTTGTTTTTGTTAGTTTTGGGATTTTTTGTGCACAAAACAAACGACGATTTGTTGATGACAGCCTGTTATCTTGTGTTATTTTTCAGACAAGCCGTCTTCATGGATGACAGTGGACACGGCTCTTTTTGTCATGTCAGCTGGTGAAACCAAAGAGGACTCAACTTTTGTGTGTTTCACTGAGTCGAAAGACAAAGAAGTATGTTTGTTTGTGTCGACAGATGTACATGTGCTCTAACATTTGGAGTTATTTAATTTACATGTTTAATCATTTCCTACTTTCCAGGATACGTTTCATCTTTTCAGCTTACTTTGCTACTCCTTTGTTTCCCACAGAAGTATGTTTGGAAAGGAGAATTGCATGCTGGGACTTACTACCTGCTGCCCTTCACCAGTGGCTGCAAACTAAAGAAAAGGAGCAAAAAGAGCCTTTCTAATAAACCAGTAGAGCTCGTCTACAGGACTGACACTGGAGAGCTAGACCTCACCAGGGAGCTCAGGTGTGTGTGTGCCTATGTGTGCATTTGCTTCATCCCATCATCAGTAGTATAAAAACACACTGCATAGCAAAGGTTTATTTATGAAATGACACCAGCTTTGGCTAATGTCCAACAATTTAGATTTAGGTTTCCAGTGTGACAAAAGACACAGTTTAGTTTGTGATTTGCGGCCCTCAAGTCTCGACTGCTTTGCTAGCTCTGCTGTCCCCACAGCAGCTGAATGGATAAATTAATGGGTAGATACATGTGTGGAAAGATAGACAGGTGTATGAATCGAGGCTGTCTGGGTCCTGTGTGACACTCCCCTGTGTTGCGCCCTTTGTGCCACAGGGAGGTGCTGTCTGACATCTTTGAGGTGATAGACCTGGATGGGAATGGGTTGCTCAGTTTGGAGGAGTACAACTTCTTTGAGCTGAGGACCAGTGGGGAGAAATGTGACAAGGATGCCTGGGCTGTCTGCAAAGGTAATCATCCTCATTATGACGCTGATACACAGGATGGCCTGTGTTAAATAGGGTTCCTCTCAGGCTCTCATTACTTTTTTGTTGGGCGTGCAGAGAACTTTGATATGAGGAAGAACCAGCTGACCCAGCAGGGCTTCATGGAGCTGAACCTGATGGAGGCCACGGAGAAAGATGGAGACCCCGCGGACCTGTGGGTCACCCTGGAAGCCATGGGCTACAACCGAATGTTGGAGCTGGTAGAGGTTAGTTTCATATCTGCCCTCACTTAAAACAATCACATGCAATCACACAGATTTCAATCAGTTTTAATGACATGACGTGGTCCTAATATGCTGTAATTTAGTGCCTACATTTGACACTTGATAAGAAAATACATTTCAACCTTCATTAAGCCATTTGACACAGCTTGCTACTGGAATGACTCTCATTTGCAGTTATATTATACAAACATACTGAGAGAAACATGCCCAGGCTTTCAATATCTTACTTGAATCATACTAACCAACTGAATTCACTCCTCTACCTCACACTCTGTCAGGCTTGTCCATTCCAAATAGACGTACACTGTGAAGGCACTCAGCCATCCGTCCAACCACTCAGCATGGACTCAGGGCCCAAGCTTCTGAACCAGGCCGTCCAGAAGTCCATCACAGCCAGGACAGGGGCCAAAGCACTGAGGGGACAAGACAACGTCTTTGTCTACACCTACAGAGGAGAACACAGGATCTCCTCCCTCATAGCCAACAAGGTAGACAACAAAACTTTGTGTAGTCTGTGCAGGTGGAGCATAATTCTGAAATTAAGATATGAGTGAGTGTTCCTGGTTTAGTGTGATGTCAAATTGCCATGCACCTTAATGACCACTAGAGGGATTATAGCCCAACTTTAATTGACTGACTGACTGAACAGTCCAGGTGAATAAGCTGTTTTTCAAATGTGTGCTTTTCATAGATGAAGTGAAAATGTGGTTTGTACAGTGTATGGTTGCGGAGACCATTCGCCCTCTTTGTAATTGATATGCGGCCGTCGTATTGATTCTCATAGCAACAGGAGCTTCTCACTGAGAATGACCTGTGATACAAAGGAACTACTGTAGAAGGGAAATAGTTACATTTGTATGCAGTTGACTTAGTCTTAATGAGACTGTTGATTGTCATTTGTTTTGTTTTATATTTGCCCATTGCCTTACAATCCAACACCAATGACTCACAAGTGGGATGAATCACTATGTTGTAAACAATCAGAGCAGCTGTTAGGCACATGGAGATGGTTTTTTTTCTGAGATTAGCATAAGGTTATCTGTTCAGCTAATATTGATAAAGCGCTTAAATCTCCTTTTTATGCTTAAAAGAAAACAGACTCTGTGATTACTATTCTGTGGTTTTAAGTTAAGAAAGCTGATCACTGAAGTGACAAATGTCTTTTGTGTTGCAGACTAACCAGAAAGTGACTGTCCATGTCAACAACGAGCAGAGCAGAAACTGCTGCAGCAGCAGAGGCATGAGTGTGTTTGCTGTCGAGGTGCCAGGCAGGACTAAGATGGTACGAAGTCTTCCTCAGAATCCTGTCTTGGTTTTCATGACAAGAGGAAAATCATAAACCATTACTTTGAAAATGTTCAATTCTACTGCATTAAAATGTACAATTGAATTGTTCATTCTCAATAAGAACATACTTTTTTTATAACTGATGTGATGCTACAATGTAATGAAATTACTACATGGTATTTTGGATACGAATAAATAGATGTGTGTTCTGTCTTTTAGGTGTGCCAACATGTCCTGCCCATTAATGAGAGACAGGATTGGACCTACAACTGTGTGGAGACCATACTACCCTGCACATAAAGCTGCACCCCCATCACTCACCTGTGCTACTGATACAGAGAAGTGATGGGCAAAGATTATTCATACACCAGTGGTTTCATAAAGGATATATGACAAAGAGAAACTGTTAAATATCCACTGACAATGTGACAACTGTTGTTACTGGTCGGATTAATAGATGTTATGTGTAATTGTACTGTAAATATCAAGGTCCAAAAGGAACACCGCAGAATCATTTTAACTTTTAGAAGCCCACCATTCAACGCTTGCCTGTAAGTTTTATAAAGCCTCATATGTCAGACAGCAACACCAGAAGCTGAGACCCTCTGGCTGCTTGTGGCCAGCAGCTTGAGAACAGTGTCTCAGAAACTCAGTGACTGGATGCATCAGAGGTGTTAGCCATTGATGCCAATGAGAAGTGGTCACCGTAGTCATAAAGTACAACTAATAATAGTTGTTACTGCTTTTGTCATGCCTTTGTATGTGGGACAGAAATTTCTTTAACCATAATTAACATTTTAAATATATACAATGTTTAGATCAAGGGTTAAATTGCCAACATGACTTTTTTTATATATATTTCATCCTCTAAATGGAGGCTGTTGTCATGGTGAATTGACAGTAGATGTAATAATTTTGAAAAAAGTCTACTCTTGTGTCTGCTACTTTATGTAACATCAATATACATTTTGTCACAGTAATTGAGAATATTGTAGAATAGAGTATTATTTCAGTGAGGTTATACATTACGATCGTGGTTCTCCATCAACATGCTACAATCGCAATGATGTGAAAGATGAGTTTCGCAGTTTTAACCAGTTTTCCATGTCCCAATATGCAGTTATTTAATTTTGAAGGCCAACCAAACTTGCTAAAATTTTATACTGTTGTGTTTTCATGTTTTACTTTGAAAAATATTGCATCGCTTCCCTTATGTAAATGTAAACATTACTATTAAAATATTACTCTCATAGACTTTGATATATCTTTGGTTTGAATGCAACCCTTCATTATGCCCACATTAACATCTTGTTTTAACAGGAAATACATAAAATAAAGACAGATGCCATTTCTGTGTGATGTTAGGTCCCTGTGATCAGGCAGGTTTACAGTGTTTGGATTGCCTTACCTGCACCACAGTGGATCTTGGAAAAGCTAGATTTCTTTCAGCTCATCTTAAACACAGCAAAATGTTTGATAAACAGAGTCAATGAGGGATTGACCAACTTTCTGGTTTCATTTGCTGCAATGAAGGCTGAAAATCAACATTACTTAGCCACTGATGTGACATATCATATCAATAGTTTTGAAGGTATTCCATGTGTGTGACATTTGAGGAAGAGCCCAAAGCTGGTCTCAACATGTAGTTACTGCACATTAAAATATGACTTTGTAAAGGCTGCTGAAACAATGGTTATATGTAACCTGGGAATTTAATGAAACATTATTTTTGTTAAACCAAATGTAGCCTGGTTTTAACTACAATCACTGCTTGCTGAATATTCTTCTTACACTTAGTTCTTGTACACAAAATCTGTTTCAGCCTGAATGTTAATGTGCAGCAATTGGTCACCACTCTCCATACTCATAATACAGTATGGGGAGCTGTGGGGATTTGGAGTTGGCATTGAAATGCATTCCTTTGCATTGCGCTCGGGTCTAAACTTTATTTGCCCTTGGCCTTTACAGTTGACAGCAGTCTTGACCTTCTATTTATATCTCTCAGGCCATTATTTGCCCTTTGACTTTCTCTGCTGAAACAGTAGAGCTAGCTAACTAAATGCCACACAGCATGTGAGATGTTTTTAATGTCCTGAGCCTCAGTCTGCTCTTCCTCTCCCAACACAGAAGTTAAGTAACACTTGACTGCTCAGGGCAGTCAGAAATCAAGGGCTGTGAAGCAATTTGAATATCTAATGTTTAATTTTCAAGCTGTTATTTTGTTCAAGATGTGTGTTTAATTAATTCTATAAACTGATAGACCTGGGAGTAAGTTGACCCTGCTCTTGGTACATACTTTGCATTTGTTCATTTTATACATATACATACCACATCCACAGCTACATGTCTTGTTGAGGAACAACCTCCACAGACATACACACCCCACACTTTCTATGAATGCATGTCTGATGTTAAACTTTGCTCTGCTTAGGATGATCAAACAGACAGTGATGCAACAGGCAAACAACAGTGGCCTGAAGTGAACTATTTCACAATATTCTCCCTAATTCACTCTTTCACTCATATGTAGTGTGGCATGCAAATACCTTTCTCACTGAGTGTTTGTAAGGGTTGTGTCATGATATTGAAATTCTGCTGACTTTTTAGAGAATTAATTATTTACTTTCTATCCAGATTTGTTTTAGCTGTAAGTGTTAAGACAACAAGCCTTGCAGTCATTGACCCTTCTGTGAATGGGACTTGACCTTAAAGGTACAAAAGTCGGCATGAATAGCTGCAAAGCTTCATAGATCCTTCATTAGGAAACTGCAGTTTTTCTATATGGAGGTAAAGACTGCAATGACACACCACAGAAGACTGCCAGGGCCTCAGTGCCTAGCTCAGGGGCACTTAAAGGACTAGTTTATCCCAAAATAATATAGGTTATATAATACTCACCTCTTTGGCTCTCCATGGTTCCAGAAAAAGTTTTTCCTTAAATTCAAGTGAGTCTGAAAAAAAGGTTATTAAACATCAAAAACACTTAATTAAAATTGTGCAGTATTATCAAAGTGTCGTGTGTCCATGTGTGGGCTCATGGAAATCCAAACACAACTACTTTTTGCTAAGCTATCCCTAACAAAGCAGTTTGAAGGAATTTGTAGCACACATGCTCGACAGCAAGTTCCTTCATGGGATAATCCGAATTTTTAATAGTTTCATGAGCGCTGCCAGGGATCAGGGACTATCCCTGATGAAGGAAGCGGTCGTGAGGTGGCTGGGCTCAGCCTTAGAGATAGGATAAGGAGCTCGATCATCTGGGCGCCTCCTGCTGGAAGGATTTCAGCCTCGTTCCACTGGTAGGAGGCCCCGGGGCAGACCCAGAACACGTTGGAGGGATTACTTATCTCATGTGGCCTGGGAACGACTTGGGGTCCCCCAGGAAGAGCTGGAAAATGTTGCTGGGGAGAGGGGCGTCTGGGGTGCGTTGCTCAGCCTGCTGCCCCTGCGATCCAACCCCAGATAAGCGGATGAAAATGGATGGATGGATAGCAGAAACAGACTTTTTTTGCCAGACGACCCTGTGTTTATATTTTTATTTTTGCTGCAGCCCTGTACATTGGCACCCCTGCTGCGACAACTGACTGGCCTCATTGAAATCAATGAGAGGACTTCTCTACCATCTCTTGTCAAATATAGGCAAAACTGTGACAGAAATATAGTTTAAAAATGAGCATTATCTAAGGGTGGTGGTGGGGCCACAGGGGGACACTCTGGCTACATAAAATTCTGGCTACGGCCCTGTGCACCTTTAGGTTACCATATTGCAAAACTGTTAACTATTTACAATATCAAAGTAAGGGTGGGAAATCACAATAAATCATAATTATCATAATTATATGTGAAATCTTCATGTTGTTTAGTTCCTGTTGTTCAGTATATGAGGAATTCCTCCATGGTCTCCACTTGCCCTTTAAAGCGAGAGGGCGGGTCTATGAGGGGGGAGTTGCCCGGTGTGTACGTGTGGCTCCTCCGCCACTGCAGTCGCCTCCTCATCGGGACAGATTGCGGATCACACGGGGCGGCCAAAGGTGCTTGCTGGGGGTCAAAAATGGTGAAAATAACTACTGTGAAGACCAAGCCGTACACGGACCAAAAGCCGGGGACAAGCGGCCTGAGGAAGAGGGTGACGGTGTTTCAACAGAACCAGCACTATGCGGAAAACTTCATCCAGAGCATTATCTCTGTCATCGAGCCTGCCGAGCGCCAGGCTGCCACTGTGGTGGTGGGAGGAGATGGCAGGTTTTTCATGAAAGACGCGATTCAGTTGATCGTCCAGATTGCTGCTGCCAACGGGGTCAGTAAGAGTAAAAGTAGTACTGTCAACCTTTGCAGCCCACCCCCCTGTGTGTGGTGTTAGCTAGCTAAGTTAGCTAAGAGTGTGCAGACTCCTGGTTAGCATGTCAGCTAGCATGTTAACGTCAAGCTTACTGACAGTTTTGACACATGAAGTCTTCAGTACTACTCTTACTACTTTTAGCTACTTATGACTAACTTATTTAACTTTTGTACTGCCTGTGTTGTGGGCTAGTGTAGCTGCTAAGTTAGCTACCAGGAGAAGTCCGGTGACATGTTGCTAACGGTTATTTTTAACGAAATTAATACGCTAATAAGTCATTGATAACGAACATGTCGTGTTATTGTCAAAGCTAAGATAAGTTACTGCAGTTATGCGGTAACAGGTGTGCGTTAACGTTAGCCTAATTCAGGACTTTGCTAAGGGTTCAAACACATTCAGTCAACTTTTAATAATTCAATAGGTGCAGTTAAAAAACGACTATACAGCTGGCTAACGTTACATGCCCTTGTAAGGTTACCCTCATTGTGTTGAAACAGTGTTCGAGCAATGGTGGCATCATGTCCCTTTACTTGTCATGTTAAGTTTTGTAGATATTTACTTCATTTTACAAAGATTGAGTTCATAAAACTGCTCGACGATGCTCATAAGGTCAAAGTGGACCCAAAGATAGGTGTCATTTACACCCTTCTGCTCTTTCCTGCACTGTCTGTGATGCCAGCTTGACCGCAGTGATCTTTGGAGAAAGTGCATGAAGGAAGCCACTTGGATATCACAGCGATTACCTTTGACATTTAAGACTACATACTGACCCTGCACGGAAACGCATCTTCATTTACCATAAGAGCTTACATAAATGAACACAGGTTTAGTCCTGCATTGCTATACAAATGAGCAAAAACTGATTCTAGCTGCAGAAGGAAGTGTTATAGACTGACATTGTGTTGTTTCATAATGAGCTGTGGCTAGATGCTACTGGCTGCCATCACTCTGATGCTACTGAGACGAGTCTATGCAGGAGGGGGGCGTGACATGCAACGTGCAGACAGTCACGTTGCTCTGCATAGGTCTGTAGCATAGATGGGAAAATAGTACATACAGTACGATTGCGTTTAATTTGTCATTTTAAGCGTGTAACCACACTATGTTCCTATCCAAACTGTGGTGCATGCAATTACAAGCTTAACAGAGCCTCATCATGTTTGCACAGCCCAATATGGTTGCTGTTTAGTCTCAGTCTGTGACCTTATCTCTCATGAGAAGGCCACTGTCTCTTGTGCAGCTCCTTCACAGCAAGGGCTGGTAAATGCAGTGTAAATGCAGTGTTCGTCAGGTTGAAGTTGCATAAAGATGTCTGATATTTCTCAGTTTCTCCACAAGTTGTCGATGTGAGGAAATGTAGCAGTGGAGAAACTGTTATTGCCAAAGGTACACAGACAGGGGCACTTCTGTTCATGTGTTTACACAAAGCTAAATATTGCATGTTTAAATAGGAATTCCTGGAACGAGATAGTGACACAATTTTTAAAAATAGTCATCTGTAAGATATACTTATTCTACTGTTATGCAACCTCTCTTCGCATTTCCACTATGTGCCTTAACATTTAGTAGTTTAGCTGATTGTAAAGCAATTTAAAACATGAGAAAAACACTAGATAGGTTAGAAGATGGCATCTTTCATATGGTCCCCAAATATTTAGCTGACATTTTCTTGCACTTGCTCTCTTTGCTTGTATATGTGTATGCATGTGTGTATTAATCTGTGTATTTCTTTATGTTCCCTCTTGCAGATCGGCAGTCTGGTCATCGGTCAGAATGGCATCATGTCCACCCCAGCTGTCTCCTGTGTGATCCGCAAGATAAAGGCAGTGGGTGGCATCATCCTCACAGCCAGCCACAACCCTGGAGGCCCCAATGGAGACTTTGGCATCAAGTACAACATCTCCAGCGGAGGT